TGACGGACGAAAGCTTAGCATCTTTTCATCGGAATCGAAGGAGATTGCCTCGGATACAGCGTCGGCATGATGGTCAAGAGGAATCCGACGTCGTCTTCTGGTGGAACCGACCTTCGAATATCTTCCCCCAACACTTTCACTCGAAATGGAAGTAAGCTCAGTAAATCATATATCCGACTTACTGGTAGTCTCGAAAACCTACTCATTTACGACAAAACAATAGTAGTTGCCTTGCAGTTTTAAGGAGATGCATTGTTGTTTCAGGCATGGCTCTCACCAATGATCAATCGTCAGCACACACACACACACACACACACAGATACACACTAAGTATGAAGAGAATTAACAAAATCATTCGTTATCTGTATATTTTAATTTTTAGCCAAGAGTATATATTGCGAGTAGGACAGATCCGGATAGTCTTCTTGACTTTGCGTTAACTTGAGACTTTTGCAGGAATGATTTCGAGCTCTAGGGATGTCCGTCATATGATGGTTTTATCCGGTTTTATCCAACACGATGCAGGATTGATGTTGGAATACTTTTCATTTCGTTTGGAGAGGCGAGTGGATGGAGGATGTTTCGTGGACTGCGTCAACCAGAACACCGTACTAAAGCTAAGTGGCTGGAGAACAACAGAGATCGGACTGTTGTCTTAAAACCTTATCAGGCAAAAAATAGTTAAATCCTCTAACCTTCCAATAGGTCACGAGACGAAAACAAAGACATTTTTTGTGATAGAAGCGAAAATTTTGTTAGGCCTGCCGAGAGGACAGCATCAATGGCGTCTGCGAGTCTAGTCCTGGCAAAAGACGCATATCACTCCAGATAAAAAAAAGTATATGCATGTACCATTTCAGTCCACCAGTCTGAGAGTTCAGCTTCATAAACATAGCATTTTCTGGCTATTTTCTTGATACCAATAATTGGTTCTAGGGTGACTTTGTTCAAATGTGAAGGCAAATAGAAGAGATTAAAATGTCCTTATTCTGCACGATTATGCACAAATAAGATGACGTAGATACGGCAGATACAATCGCCAATCTAACTCAGTCTAATCTAAAAATGCTTAATGACTGAAGCCAATCCTGCCAGGCCGCCAGTAAATGCAAGCTATTTTCAGATGCATGCCTACTTATGCTGTCTGGTGGATAGACTGTATTACATAACAGCCCTGCTGGGCGGCGCAAGAGGATAAATTGGCTTCTTTTGTAGGAGGAACAGATGCCTACTGCCGAAAGCCAATTTGCACATAGAAAGGAAGGAGACCAGAGAACTGTTCGCGCCAGCGAGGAGATGTCAGCAAATTTCGAGGGCTACACCTGCTAACACCTAGCATGGCGACAAGAATGAGCCGGAAGCAGACAGAAAATCTTGTTGCATGTGTGCCTGCGAAGGCAGATGAGCGAGTGCTTGTAGGCGGTTCACCGAAGGAGGCATCAAGCGTCATAGTGCTGGACGTCTTCTCTACCACCAGGCTTGGTTGTCATCTTATGCACCAGCGACTAGCGCCTATCAGGCCGTGGTCTGAATTCGTATAGTCTTGCATTCGGTGCCAACCCATGCGTTGTCTAACAAAGGTGGCGAAGCCTGATGTCGCCAAGGTGCCCACATCGACTTGCTAGGACCAGCTGCATCTGTATTAGGCGTGGACGTGAAAAAGATACCCTGCACTCCGTTAAATGCTCAACTCTGTGCTCTTATCTAAGACATCGATCCTCAGTCGACTAGACCCCGTAGCATGGGCCTGTAGCGATGGAGACCTATTCTTAAAGTCCAGCATGAAGAAAAGGAGTTGAGAAATATTGAGCAATTTAAATCAACATTTTTAAGTGAAAAGCTAATCAAAACTCGTCGGTGTGGCAACAGCAAGTCTATGCGACGAATCTCTTGGTTTATAAATGTTGAGCTCTCCTGCATTTCAGGTGAAAGTGTGTGATGAAGAGATGCGACGGGGGATTCTTCTTGCCCAGTTGTCGTCTGCTGGCTTTACTGGAACGCTCCTGTTCACACTGTCTCCAAAACAGTTTGCGCCAATTCCGGTGCGAGAGTGCTAAGTTTTCTCCCGTCCTATGATGGTACAGTCTGCTCTCATGATCTCCTTCATAGGACGGATGAAGGCTTAGCCATTTTGCACCGGAATCGGAAGGGATTGCCTCAGCAGCAGCGTCGGCAGGAATGTTGCAGTAAAGCCAACCGACGACAGTTGGCCAAGAGGAATCCGCCGTCGTCTTCCGGCGGGGTCGACCTTCGGAACTCTTTATCACACAGACTTTCACTCAAAAACCGAAGTAAACTCACCAACGGCGAGCCTTCAGGGGCAATCAAGCTTTCAGTACCACAATAGCTCACCGGGTCTTAGGGAGACCTTAGCAACACTTCGGTTGTCCTGATCGCTTAACACACACTTTAACTGCATCAGCTAAGAATCGGCTGGTACTTCATATTAACTGCTCTTGAGCAGTGCATTGAGAAATGAAAATATGGCAAAATCACAGAAAAGAAGGAAGGCCAACGAAAAGAGAACCAAGGTCTGGTTTATAAAAATGATGACTCGTTCTAGAAGGAAAAAGGCATTCGACTATAGGCCATCGTAAAATGCACAACAATCATAGCTTGGCACAGCAAAGCGGCCCACAGAAATCCAGAGGATCTCATCGAAAGTCAAACCTTGGCGGGAAAGTCATTGTGATTTCAGGTTGGGAGAAACTTCAAAATCGAATTCAAACCTTCTCAATTCGGGATGGAATAACAGCAAAGAAACATACAATGTATAAACGTCATAGTGAACATTTTAACTAACAAGCAATACAATTCAGGCAACAACAACTTTGCTAATGAAGAAAAATTGGGTTTTGAAGAATTCCTTAATGAAATTTTATGGTATGACTATCCATTTCGAAGGTAAAGTTGGCTGGAAAGAATTCGAGATGTCATCTCACCGGAAACCGAAGAATGGTTGCCGTGTAGGGAAGACAGTTGAATTGTGCGACCAAGTCCTCGGCTCCCCGTCTTGCGATCACGATGAAACGGTGTTAAGCTTTCGCCTGTACCGCCGTGGCAGACAGCATCAGATCACGATTATAGGCTTAACAAAATAGAGCAAAAATAGACTAAACCAAGAGAGGAGGTGTCCGGTTGCAACCCTAGTCGCCTTTTTATACACTTAACCTCGCGATCTTAATGAGGCCTCCTCTGATTTGGTTGACTGCTTTAACTTTACTCTACATGCTTGAAAAATAAGTGGAGTTAACTTCCCGAACTGAAAATGCGTTCGTTGGCAGCTATTTCATCACACACAAAACTACCCTACAATCGTCTAATGCTGAATTATGTTTGGGCGTGTGCTATTGTCTATTGTGTGGATGAAATGCTCATGTCATGAGTAGTATGCTAGTCACTAGCTCGACACGAAGCTAATCCAGCCTCCTCCTCTTGCTCATTGGCTCTTCCTGCACCCACTCTCGCTCTCTCCTTCATTAAGTCAACCCAACAGCCACAAAAACTTTTTACTCAGTTTTCTACACTCGATCCTCCTATTCAGGACGTTGGCTGTTTTGTTAATTTCTACAGACTCCCTAATTTTATGATTTGACGCAAAGTCCCTGTAACCCGCAAAACGCTGTGTTTTGGATCAGTCTATTCAGTGTCCTGTATTGGCAAAATGTGTTTAGCGGGCTTTATTCGGAATTCGTCATTCTGTACAAAAACCAAGAAATCCTAAGCCAGACAAGTCAATCACATTCACTTTTTGAAAGTTTGCTCCACCCGTAGAATTACACCTAGATTTTGTATTATTTCTATACCTAATTTACCTTGTAAGACAAA